AATTTCCTTCTTCCATAATTTGATGCTGTAACCGAACTTCGCTGGACTAAACATTAGCTATCGTTTTTTGTTGGGTTGCTATGTGGTTATTTGCTTGATCGGAAAATAATGGGAGCGTTTATTTTTCTGAATCTTGTGGGTTTTGAACAATAACCATGGCTGGCATCGTATATGTTTTATTTGAAGGTAACTTTTGTGATTCTGGCAGCATCCTGCTGCTCTCTCAAGCAATCCTTTCACACGCGCTTCAAAAGAATTGTGCAGAGCTTTTCGGACATCTATTGAATTTGTGCCGTGATATACAACTTTCCAAGCTCTTTCTTAAGGATCCTTTGCAACTCGATCATTTCCTTCATAGAAAAGTTGAATGTATCTCAAAATAATATTTCTTGGTCCAAAAGTATGACCAAAAACATGTATAGGTCTATAATTCGCGGAAATGATCGAGATATGCTGCTTAGCACAGAACTAAGCTCTACCAAATGTAAAACAGGAAAGGTGAGCCAAGGTTTGGGTACGGCGAGGAAATAAAGTACAGCCTTTCCAAATGCTTGACTTCTTTGGTATACATCAAGCTGGTACCACTACGTTAATGACTGTTTATTCGATAGTAGCGGAGCAGCCGCTGACGATCAGCAGTGAATATGCGGAACAGCCGCTGACGATAGTGGTATTAATCGAACCAACACCAGAACTGAGTATTCAGGCTCTTTTATGCCACTATTTTGGGCGTGGATAACCTATGCTCACTTCTGGTAAACAATAGTATCATACAGAATCAAGAATTGCCTACATGAAAGTAGGCGCCGCCAGGTAGACTATCAAGCACAGTGGAGGGCGACATGGCGGCTTAACTGGTCAGTGAACAGTAAGGTTTGTCAAAAACAAGCTAGTAGATATACTAAATATAACATACATGGTTGAATATACAGTGATAAAGGTTGTAGATTATATAGATAATCTACGACAACTTCAGATATTCACATTTTGGCGTGATATCAAGCTATCGGGTATGATGATTCACAGCAATGACATTATCGGTGGCGTCGCCAACGACAAGAATAAGTAATCATTAAGCGGCTCGCAAGTTACACTATACTCATCCTTGCAACTCTACTTTAGAACAACAAGATAGCTCGACCGAGTGATTCAGGCAACAGCTTCGCCAGACAGATATAAAATGTGTTGGGACGAGGGAGCGTTTGAAAAAGGCAATCAACTGACGAGTTGCAAGACGCAAGATCTCAATACTCATCAAAATTGCTTCGCAGTTTCTTTAAGCACCTTTCATATCTTTGTATAGTGAATAATTTTCAAAAAAAGTGAAAATTCACCTTTCAACTTTTAGAACAAGCGCAATTAGATCAGATTCATCTACGAGAATCCAAGATCTAACAGATTTCATTCATCCAACATAGCGATTTCTGATTAGCTAGGATACCTATTATCTTTGTTATCGCTCATGTTGTTTAGAATTATTAGCTCCTTGTCTATGTATCATGTTTGAATTAGTAAGCGGGTTATTCACCCATATCTGAGGTGTTGCGTTGTTACAAACTCCGCTTGGCAGACAATCTTTGGTGATTCTGTTCACGAGTGGTATTAGACAGTATAGTTCGGAACACCATATCGTCCACCATACCTACAGGCGGTCCACTGCTTTATACCACTCGTTCATAACCGCCTGAGCGATTATTTGCGATTTGACGATTGTAGAAATGGAATCATATGCTAACGGCCTTAAAGGCAGCGTCCGGGCAAAATTTCGCCTCTCATGTTTCTACCATTCTGGGGCCTTTCCGTGGCCCTGAATACAGTTGTAAAGTCCAAATTGTTCAAAACTCCCAAAAAACCCGGTTCTTGGGAACCATCTCTTCAAGGAGCGGACGAGTTTCGAATTGCTCGTCCCCATCGTCATGCCAGAGGGAGGAGCTGCAACTGCACGGATGCAGTTGCATTGCAGTGCGCAGTGCAACTGCAATGCAACTGCAATGCAACCACACACCTGCGTAAGCACTCGTCCTCAGAAGTGGTTTGTGATACGAAGAGGCGGCTTGTGATACGTATCACAGGCCCGTATCTCTTTTTAGAGAGCAAGTCAAAGGGTTGGACCAACGCAGCTCGGATATTCAAGGGGCCCGCTTTGCAACTATGTGCTAATCTGAGTGGGTGGATCTTGCCCGGACGCTGCCTTTAAAGACAGCGTCCAGGCAAATCTGGACTTGTGGGGCTCTCACGTGGGAAGTAATCTTGAGGCCCTAAATAAGACTCTGCCCAACCGGCAGTTCAGGTAGTGCACTCACGGCTAAGATATTGCGCTCCAAATCATGCCCCGTGACCGTTCCGCATGGATTCGTGGCTCGGCACATCAGTTTCGCGTGGATCCTCGCGCGAAAGAGCCATATGTTCAGATTTGCCTGGACGCTGCCTTTAACTAGATTTCGGTCCGAAGATGTCGACATGTTCTCAGCTCTTCTAAATGGGAATTTTTTTTTTCAAGATTTGTTTGGTAAAGGTGCCTTACCTATGCAACTCATTTTCACGATCACCTTGACATTTTCAAATATCGGCGCTTTTTGAGCAAATAGAACTCAGATATGTTGCATAGGGGTGTAGTGGTATAGAGCGCCGCTATAACCAGATCGGACCAAAGTTCAGTTCCGTCACTGGACCAACCAGGCCCTACCCTCCGGGGACGGTCTTGGTACCAGAATATTCTGAAAGGATAGAAGCATTGAATTAGCAACCGCTTGGTCCCCGCAAGTCATTGTAAAAGATCCGCACGCATTTAGTGGTCGCATTTGGTGACTAGAAAGTAGAATGCGTTTGGAGCACGCTCGCAAAGGGTATTGGAGACTGCGAATCCTTTACCTTTTATACTTATTACTTACTTATTTACTTGTTTATGCATCTATCAACCTCGAGAGTAGCATTTTTCGTAATTTTTAACTCCGCTACAAGAGAGATGCTACGCATTTCTGTTCAGGTCTTGCTCGAGTAGGCCTTCACTTGTTAGCAAAACTTTTCTTAAGATGTTCTTCCGCATGATCAAACAAGACCTCCCTCAATTCTATGAAGAAGTTGGTCAGTGCAACAATTCGGATGCAATACGTATATAGAGTCTGTGTGTGTATGTGTGGGTGTGCGATGACACAAGAACATCTCGCATGTCCTTTTGCGCTTCGTGAACTGCGGTGTTTACTGGCGGGGTCAACTTACATACACGGGTCTACGACCTCCGAAACAAGGATATCTCAAGTACAAACCTACTCGGATGCTTCTTGCAGAAATTTTATGGATTTTCTAGGTGAAGGTCAAGCGCTTGGTAACTGAGACAAGTGCAGGAGTACAGGCAAATACTGGAAGTTTGAATCGCAAATTTGGGACAAAAGGGTCATTTTGAAAAAGCGGCAAAGCGGCGGCAATTTCTCCTGCAAAATCCGGAGCAAATAAAATTCGGATCTTAGTGCGTAAATTTGAAGCAAATTATTGGAAGCGTGAACAGATCTAAATACCTACGAAGGAGGTTTTTTGCTCAGATTCTTGCTTAGTATATGACCCCTCACATTTTAATTTTATAATGCCAGATCTAAGCAAATTTTTTGGGACGAGTTGCCCTTACAAGCCGATTATCCTGACTGCTAGATTGACATAGTCGAGATTTCAAGTGACACTGTCATCTAAGAAAAATCCTGCATAAATTTCAGACTCCGCAGAACTCTGAAATTTCTTCTCGCATTTTATGGAAAGTGACTTTCTGACTTATTTCAACTGTGGCAAGTAGGTTGGAAGATACAGTCACTTCCATAGAAAAAGTAGACGAGCTAAAATAACCTCCATCCAAGCCGTACTTTGATTTGTGGGATGTGCTAAAATCGAATTTTTTTTGCTTCCAGTTCACTTTCAAATGTTCCCCTATTGATGTCATTCTAGGTTCTTTTTCTTGCTTTTTTTTCGCATGCAAATCACTCAAGTTACCAAAGAAAACGCTAAGTGAGTGAAAAGAGCTATTTACATACTTGAGAAGATGTTTGCCGGTTTTTTCAAATCGACTTTCGGAACAGATTCGTAAACGATACGATTCTTTGTCTGTAAATCAAGCGCTGACCGCAGAGAGGTAAAAATGCAAAACAAGCAAAGCTTCACAAAATGAATTTGAGCATTTTTTTCTTAAAGAATGGGTGTTTCTTTTAGCTTTGAATTTTGGAATTCACAGCCTTCATACCAGGCCGCTACCAATATTCGATCTGAGCAGGATTCATCCTATTTAAAATTCGAAGAGAAATTGAACGGTATCGACACCTTGTTGCCCCTCCACTTCCCTTATCTCTCATTTTTATTCATATTCTAAAAGATTTACAATATTAGTATTTCAGCAAATATTTTAAAATCGCTTGTTATAAGGAAGCGGGGAGACCAAAAGAAAAATGTAAACTGCAAAAGATGAGTTCCTTCTACCATTACACGGTAAGTCTCGTTGGTGCCATTCTTCCACTGACAGAAATTTCAGCCGGCTCTTGGTTTTGGAAAAAACGCGCAATCCAAAGCTAATCATCTTATTTGGAACAATTTTACTGGCTATCGAAACCCATTTTGGCAGCCGGTCAGATTATTGCATGCTTATTCGAGTTTTTATGGCCGAAAGCCGCTTTCTACAAGAGCGCAACTTGACTGCGGCGAGGATTGGCGACGGGGGCTGAGGGCCAAGCCGCAGCGTTTTTGCGCAACCTAATCTGAATCTGCTTTGTCGTTGAATAGCATCGTCGTCATCGTCAAAGACGCCGTTGGGGCTTGACTCGATGAACGAAGGAGAGCCCCTTCCCCGAAACTCGGCTTTGTTAGAGGGAGGGGCGCTGAACACAACAGTAACTCGCGCACAAACACACACAGCGAAACCTCGCTACCCGCCGTCCGCCGTCCGCGCCCGCATAACCGGGCCATCCGCTTATGAGTCGCGTCCGGCTCGGACGACCACGCCCAGCACAGGAGTGCAGTTCGAGATGTCCTCTACTGGTACTTGGCAAGGTGTTGTCCATGCACACCTTATTTGGCTGCTTTGGTTCATGGACAGTGTTCGGGCACAATATGGACTAACCTATAGGGAACCACGGCTGGTGAGTCGCTTACATGATGTTCGAACCATCCTCTGCTTGTTTATCATGATATTCTTTTTTACTCGGCCACCCCTCAGCTGGGGATTTTCGCATATTCTCCCCCTCCCCCCCCCTTTCCCCTCCTCCACGAAAGAGTTTTGACCGGTATTATTTATTAGCTGTATCAACTGCAGAATCTTGGTTGGCTTCTTAGAAAAATAGGGAAAATAGATCAATATTGTTTCTTCTTCGAACCTATGCGTTAAAAAATAAATTGTGCTTTTCACCTAATCATCAAGGTTCTAAAAATCCAGCTTTCTTAGTATTCTAAATATGAACCTAGATGCCTTCCTTCTTCCTTCTTTATCTCTAGGTTTCACAATCTCTCAGATCTCCTTTTTCGACTCTTGAAAATCTTCATGCTGTTTTCCTCATTTTTTTATTTGCCATACCCTACTGCCCAAACGAAACACAAGTTGAAATTGAATCCAGTTTGTATTCCCGTTCAACTTTCGCAGCTGATATTTTACAGACAATTTGACTTCCTTCTCAAGTGAACCTTTCATGCTTTTCACGCTTTGCACCGAAAAGACTAGTTTGGAAATTTTCAAGACTTGATGATTCTATGTAAGGTTTTTTTACAAATAAAAATAATTATAATTACAAGCCAGTGAACTTGGGACAGGGGCGAAATGTCGAAAGTCAACCGCTCGAGTTATAAGATTGTGTAATTGATGTGTTTCTACCTTTATCAAAAGTTAAACTAATTTTTAGAAATTTTCGGTGGTTTAAATTAGCCTCGGGAGAAAATTCTTCTGGCAATTTTGAAATTTTGTAACCATGGGCCTGAAAATTTTTCAAAAACGTTTTCAAAATTTTTCAAAGCTTCTTTATTCAGAAGCAAATTTTCGAATGAAGAAGCTCCTTCAGGGAAAAATTTTTATGGCCGCTCAAGCGCTGCTGTTATGACTATAACACCAAATAAATAAAATTTGGAGGAAGTTTGTGCTTATTTTCGAAAACCTTTCCTGTTGCTAGTTCTCTTTACCTTCCAGCATAAAAGCAGGATGAGTTTTTTCGGCAAATAATTGCCCGCGTGGAGTTGACACATAAAAGCAAAACAACTTATAGTGCAATTTTTTTCTTTTGAGAATGGTTGCAAGGGGTAAATTGTCGAAACAAGTAATGATCAATATTTTAACTTGGGTAAGAATGGGGAAAGAATAGTCCCGTTTGTCCAACAAAGACTACACTCCAAAGGCCAAATTCCTCATTTTTGCGCAAGCGCCGCAGTAAATACGAGTAGTATCTATAACTCAAGATGTACTCGAGTAACGCGAATAACAAAAGAAGCGGTCGGGCGTTTTTCAGTGGCTCTTACAAAAGTTTGACATATTTTTCATGGCTAACGCTCAGCGCGTACCTAATTTCACCTCTTCACCTACTTCTTTAGTTTCTTTCTAGAAAATCAACAATTTATGACCTAGTTAATTTTTATATTTCGAAATTATTTGTCTCTCTCCGATCATGCCCTAAGACCCTTTTTTGAAAGCACTTGTAATCATAACTGTGTTCTCCATTTACTTACGTTATCCCAAAAACTTGCTATCGGTTTCGGGTTTGAAAATGCTTGGGGAACTAAAAAACCCCTTCAACTTTTTGAAACAAACCTTTGTCTTACGTTACTCACGCTTGGTTTAGCATTATTCCACAACTGAGCTTCTTCAACCTTTCACTAATTTCGCTCAGCACGCAATCAGAGCGACATGTTGTTTTAAAAGTATGTCTACACCAAAGGGGAAATGAATGACATAAAACAAAAAATAAACTTCTAATTATACTACGGTGTCCCAAAATTTCTAACCGCTTTTAATACAACCGTCTCTTTTTGTATTTTTTCCTTTATCTGATGTGGCACGAGTAATCGTTTGGCAGGGCAAAGCAAGGTCTACAAGGTGGCTATGAAGAATCCGCCCAAATCGTATTTCACTGGAAGTTTTGAGTTGCAATCTGATTGCAGTCAAAAACGAACTTTTCCTTCAAAAATCGTATTTCCGCCCCAAAATGTCTCAAAAATTCCACAATCCCAGCGTATGCTTAACAATTCGCATATTCAGGCTATTTCCTTTTTCTCCATGGCTAAAAATGAAGAAAATAATGAATGGGGTAAAATGGCAAACTCCACCCCTAGACATCCTGAACTCCTCCCAGGCACGTGACCATATATAATAGTATTATTATATCGACCCTTTCTTCAAGACTTAGATTCAAAAGCGTCAACCTAAGATCAAAATAATAGGGATTTTTTGTGGAAAATGTTGAGGTTACTCAAATCAGCTATTCTCTGTTGATGTTGGTCAGTAACAGCGCGAATAATTGAGAATCTCTAATGAACTACGTTTCGGCCCCTAGGCGCTGCTAGCTCCAAGATTGAATAGTAGGATTTTGGCGAACTGAAGTGTATAGGGAAAGCTATTTTAAGATTTTGGCGAACTGAAGTGTATAGGGAAAGCTATTTTAAGATTTTGGCGAACTGAAGTGTATAGGGAAAGCTTTTTATCTTTTGTTTGGTCTAAGGCCTCGTTCGGGGGAATTTGATCTGAGCTATTCCTCCATAAATGTCCCGATTAGAAACTCAGTTGTTATTTTCTGAATGAACTCAAAAATATTATGGACTTGCAAATTATCGTTCTATAAAAAGAATTCATTATTTTGACAGTCTATCATACATTTTCGAGTGTTCAGTGATACTCACATTTTTAAAAGAGTTGAAAAACAGGGGCGGAAGTACTGGCATATCAAAGTGCTGCGTAAGCGCTGCAATTTTCGGAAATTCCGCAGCTCTCTGTTATAAGTAGACCTGCGAAGTCCTGCAGAACCACTGCAAATTTTGCTTGTCCTGTGGAAGTTCTGGTAAGTGTCTGAGTGCTAACACATTACTTAGTTTATTCAAGGCATCTAGCTAATTAGTCATTTCATTTCACTTGTTATTTTCCTATTTTCCTTGAGTTCTTCTGTAGACCTCCTGGTGTATTTGAATCAGGGGCCTTCTCTGACCTCACTATCGTCATAGTGCATACTCAGCCTCTGTTTTTTATATTTGTTATTTTTCGTGGTAGGATTAGAGGAAGAAAAACTCAATTAGCTAGTGCTTCACTTTTTTCTCTTCGCTTGCCCTCGTTTCCTCTCTTTCTTCCTTCGTTTTTCAACACCATTGCATGGGTATGTAACTTTTCGCAACATGCTAGAGCTGCTACCTTTCAAGTGTCTCTTGTATTCCCGTTCTTTGACCACTTCGAGTTAATAACCGTGCCGCTTTTGTATGCACCGCACAAGTGCGAGACATCGTTCTATAGCCGAGAATGTAATTAGTTTCTTTGCGGTTTCGAATAACTCCTAGAAAAACCCGCGTTCTTGACGCGGGTTTCGTACAACGCCCTGATTGCATCGTCACTATTGATCAACTACTACTGCTTTGGCCTTGAAGTACTTCACAGTTATTACAGCTATTTAATTGTCTTTTTGAAAAGTGCGCTCCGTTCCACGTAGATGCGATAGCTCGGTCAGGATGTGTGGAAAGTGAAACACACGGAAAATCTTGGCAAAGAGGTTTGGGTTATGTACGCTTTTAGAAGGAACTCAAAAAACTCTTGGAGCTTCCATAAACAAGAAAGCTTTGCTGCAGATTTTCTTGCTATCAAAGAAGTTTAAGCGTCGAGAACGGGAACTTCCGCAACAGGTTGACGCTAGACTGATCAAAAAGGAAACTTTCGCAACCGGAAGTTTGTTCTCGCAGTGTCTAGCTCTTTCTTTGAGTTGTCTGAAACTCTCTTTTTTATTGTCATGAACAAGTTGCCTAGAAAAGTAGTTCTATGTTTTTCACATATTCGCATGTGTCAAAAAAATTAGCTAGCAATTTTTTTACACTGAGCAGTTAGGAATAGTAATTGTAGTCTAAGAATGTTGCAACTGTGATCTCTTTTCGATGGAGGATTAGAGAAAGCTCCGCTTTTGTTTGAAATCAAATCTGGTTGGTGCTCTGTCAACATATAACATGATTGTCGATATGATACATTAGGATATATTGATAAGAAATCTCTCGCCGAAGCAGGGCCTGACTGAGAATTTTTTGATGTGGAAACACAGAAGAGCATTTTTTTTGAAGTGGAATGACAAGAAACATGAGAAAACATTTAGATGTCAAAAATTACTTCAGCATAAAAGTGAGCTGCACGCATTCTAGCTGAGCGGATGCGTATCAAAAAATTTTGGAAAGCGTTTTCGAAGATACGAGAACAGTAACATTACGACAATCACTAAGAAAACAAAGAAGTGAGCACAAGTAAACCAAGTTTTGTATTCTAACGGTAGCATTAAGAGTTTTAAAAAAATGTTATAAAATCAAACAAGGGAAGCGAGACTCAAAGTTCCTCTACAGGAGGGCTTGAGCAGAAGAGAAAAATATTGAAACACGAAGTTTGCCACAATCCTCGGGCTGTTACCAATTTATGAATATCAACTGGGCAAAAATATATTAATACTTTGATTTTTTGAACTTTTCTGCGCCAAATGAGAAATCATTAGCAAGCAATTGGGGAGAGCTTTTTCAATAAGAAAATAGCTACCAATGAACAAACCACATGAAAACGGAAATGAATTTTAAAGTTGCAGGGGAAGTTGTTGTAAGACAATATTGAGAACAATTTCTGATTTAGTCGTTGACCTGATCAGATCGATTTTGATTGCGATCTATTCGCCTAAACAACGTAAGGTGCAAGGCTTGATACAGGTGGCTTATAAGCATCGATATCGTTTTTGAGACAACAAGCTAAGGGGATATGGTTTTTTGTGGGTCCGAAATAGGTTTTTTAGTCGATGTTTCGTTTTTCAGTCGATTAGGATATCTCGGTTAAGGATCAAAGGGGACTTCGTAAAATTTTGCGAAAGTCATGGGGGACCTCGTTTTTTGCATTTTCGGAAAGCCACCTCGTGCCAAGCCCTTGGTAAGGTGTCGTTTTTTGAGGTTAGCTTCAATTTGGGCAATAAATGGTTATTTTTCGGTTTATATTCTGCAAAAGAAGTGTATTTGGTGAAGAGTGTATCCAAAACTCTTCTTACGGAGATTTTCGCACTGGACATTTTGAGCGGGATATTAAATGCATCTGTGCAAATGCACTACAAATTCGTCATTAATTGGCTCACACATGTCAGGCATCCGTATTTTGGATGCTTTTCCTGCAATATTTAGATCAGTCATTATTTCATGCAGTTGCAAGAATTATCAGTACGCCCTCACGTCAACATCCCTCTCCCCCCTCCCCCTTCTCAGCGATCCTATTCTCAGGGCATGGCTTTTCTGGCAAAGTGTAGTGTCCTATAGAAACGCGGAGTCGTGAGCTAATCCGCTTTATGGCAGCGTTGAATGTGGCACAAAACCAGTCCCTCGAGAAAGTATCATTCTTTCCCAGTGATGAGAGGTGTGAAATCTATAGAGGATCGGCGCCGATAGCCGTGGACAACTGGTCTCGAGCCAGTAGCCATAACCATTTCTCGTTTCAGGAGTGTTTACCTGATGGGATTCGGCTGCACATCGATCCTGTGGGAATTTTTGTTGGACACGTGTATGTGAGAGGACATTTTAATCAACAGTGAGTCTAAAAAATAGTTCATCTTCCCAATAGGCAATGGCTGGGCGAGGAGGGGGGATTGCAGTTTTGAAGCTTAGTTACGTGGGCTATAAAAATGTGCAAGTAAATTCTATATTTTTTAGTAATCAAAATAATTTTTGAAAAATTTCAAAATTCCAAATTAGCATTGTAAAATAATTTTTTCGGGCGTGACGGCAGCCACGCCCCCTTTTTCTAGATTCTAAGGGTTATGGGTCCGCAAAAATTTTGGGATGTGCGTGGCTGAAGCTGGAGAATTTGAGGAATTTTTGAGCAGTGAATAGAAAGGAGTCTCTTTGAACTTTTTTTTCTTAAAATTTTTGGCACAGTTTTTTCGAGGATTAATGTCATACCATCAAATCGAGCAGTCTACTGGGATTTCAAATATGCAATATTCTCCTATTTATGTATGTTGTTTTTTTCAAAATGAAATATTTCGGTCATATTGACGTTTGAATTTTCCACTCGGTCTTGTTACCTATAAAATTGGGAACATTTTTTTCAAGCGTATAAAAAACATATGATTTCATAGAATTGTAAGAATTTTCTTGCAACTACAACTTCTTCAAAAAAATTTGTACTTGCTCGCAGATAAAAATATGCAACTACACAGTTTTAGCCCATAAATACACTCTAAAAAACAATCACCAGCCCCTCTTGCCCCGTTGCGTTCAACAGCCCAAAAGTGGGCGTGTCCTCACCTTTTTTACCACCAAAAATTAAGAAAAACCACAGAGTTATTTTTCTTGAAAGACAATTTCGAGTTCAGCTCCCCACAATTTAGAATGTTATTATCATGATTGAATGCTAAAAATTATCAATTAAAGTTCTTCTCTAATTTCTACCTCATTAGCGACCGATTAATATCGCAAAAAGCAAACGTTCAAGTGTAGACGGACGCTTTTGTGGGTTTTTCGCTTCAACGACATTGAGACGTCGACAGCTTTTTCCGACGACGTGAAATGGCCCCAGCCGTTTAGCCACGCATCATTTGAGATTGATAGAAAAGAATGAGTAGAAAGGCTGGTTCTTCAACTAAATAAGGCTATTAGAGGGGAAAAAGGCAGGTAGAAAGTGTACACGAAATGAAATCTCTCTAATACGGTTATCGATATGACAATTATTCTGTCATTTTTTGGGAGGAAGGAAGCAGGAGGGCTAAATGAGGTTGGGGAAGGCGAGAAAGTGGCGGAAAAACGAAGGAAGTGGAGATGCGAAGAATGAAGAGAACCTTCTTGTGATTACTAATTTTCATGGGGAAGGGAATTTAGCTGAGAGAAAACAATCGGTACCTATCAGTAAAAACGTTAAGAGCGCTTATGAAAAAGATTCCTTGTAATTCTTGGTAAATGCAACAATAGCTGTCTACAAGTTTTTGTCACAGGATTTATTGTAAGCAAAAACACTTCTTAAATTTTGATAAAAATTTTCACTCTCATTATCGCTAGTGCGTCCATTCAAAATATTTAGTCATTTCGAAAAATTTTGAAGAGTATCAACAAGAAAATTTACGGATTCCCCAGCGGTTGATTGCGAATTCAGGCTTTTTATCGTGCTTTCTTTCGTTTCAGAAAATGTCATCTAAACTATTGTACACAATCTATACGACAACCTTTCTATATGGAAGTTCTGTATCGTAGTGGATGTAATATTCGGCGGCATCGATCAGTGAGTTGCACATAATAAAAAGAATAAGCATACTGCCCCCAGTAACATCGGCTTTTGTTTTAAGCCGACCCTTTTGCACCGATACCGTATACCACCAAAATCGGCAAGGCATTAGAGACATTAGATGGCATTCAACTTATGTTGTAGTTTGCCGTGTCTTTGGTAAAGAGAACTCTAATCTGCGAGCAGAAATTGAGTTTTTCACATGACTAGTTTTCGTCTTAAGGGGCCATAGTTCATATTCGTTCGCGTTTTCAGCAAAATAGCTTGGAATTACACCTGATTATAGAGGGCTTGTCGATATAATAAAAGTACCCTAAAAGGAACCTGCAAAACGAACATTAGCCCAAATTTGTTAGTTTTGTACCAACATCTGCAATCGGGGCCGGCGCAGCTGGCACCGAGCCAAGCTGGATATTGTGTTTGGAACCGAAATCAAAGCGGATATCGTTTTTGTGGCCGAAAACAGACTTTTTTAGGCGACTCTCGTTTTTCGAAGGGCTTTTTCAACGTTTAGGGTTATGGTCAAAGGGGACTTCGTACAAAGTCAAAATCAAAGGGGACTTCGTTTCAAAATATACCTGTTGCCAGCTCATGCCGAGCTCCGTCTGGAATGCATTAACGAATGATATATGAGTGATCAGACATTAAAACTTCCCTTGTAGGCTCAAGCTCCGACTTTGCGTGTAAAAGAATTTGCTATTGTAAACATATTTACAACTTCCTGCAAAAGACACCATTTCAAAACTAGCTTGCTTGCAGCAAAATCCCAAGACGATCATCTATGAGGTCACTATTGTAGTCCAACATCATCCGCTATTTATCACAGCTGGTGACCGTGCCTATCGTCTAAACTGCATTTATAGACAAGCGGATGCATTGCTTACTCAGAAAATCAATGTGAAGTAAGTTCCTTTTTAATTTATACGAATAAAAATCGCTTGTGTGACTAACCACCACATTACTTTGTTGTTGCGTACAATAGAACACATTGCAAAAACTGTCAGAGGATATTAGTCACGGACGAGTTTTCGGTGGATAATCCAGCTAAACAGCTTTACTCTTTGCCGTTTGGAACCACTCAGTGCTTTTTGATCGCCTGTTTCCACACTGAATCGAACATTTGAATAAGGTGTTACCAGTCAGGGAGGGAATTTTTCAAGGCCAGATATTGGTAGCGATATCATGGAGATAAAAAAGAGGCCTTCAAGTTTGGAAATATCTCGAAAAGAAGATATCTTGAGATTTCCATACTTGAAAAAGAGCGAGCATACGCTTCTTTTCAAAATCGCCACATTTATATTCTGATAAAACACATCTTGTAATTTGAACTACCCCCCCCCCTAATTTCCTTCAATTTAGTGACCCCACTCCACAGGCAATAGAAGGCAAATCTACGCCACAATGTCGCTACGATGTGTTATCCTCGGTCAATGGTCCAACATTACGTTTTGCCAATGTTGGAGAGCCTGTGATCCACAAATGGAGCTGTAATTCTGGTAAGAATCAAAAACTTACATCAAATGATTCCTCGTAATAAATAATCTTGAGTCAGTAATAGGTTGACACAAAGTCTTGCAACAAATCCTAAGAAATTCGCTAGAAAACAATTGTTACTCCCAGTGTATCTTATATGTTTTTATCCAGATATTTATGATATTATGTTTGATTTAATATATTAAAGATTTTACTTTTCGTAACATCAAAGACAAAAAAAACAAAAACGCTTATTCAGAGAATTTTCTTATAATTTGATCAGAAATTGGCCATACAAAAACTAGAATCAGGGTTTAATTGAGCTCTTATTATTAGCATTTTCTGCGGATTTCAAAAGTGCGCAATTCCAGTTTTTCTTCATCAGCTTGTATTTATTCACACACCGTAATAATTAGCATAACTCCTACTCTAGAAAATATAAAAATAAGTGGATATTAAAAACTTTCAGATCAAGCAAAATAATAGCATCTCTGCATGTAAGTAAAAACTATCACAGTGCTCTTCCATGTGCACTGAAATCAATCAGTTCACAGTGTCAATTTAAAAAAAAACCGAAAATTGTTGAATAAATTAGAGCGGAGAAGAGTTGAACTTACAGAGGAATTTGTGATAAAATTTAGAACTGCATGGCTTTGTGGTTCACTCTTGCGTGGTTCGAAATCCATCAGGAGAAGAATATAAACTCATCGACGATCGCGGGTGAGTAAGCCATTCGAGTCGTCGAATTTTCGATAAAAAATACCAGCACTATGTTCGATACTTTTGTGTGCAATTTCCAATCGAGTTTGCTTCCCTCAATTTGTTTTCTTCCTAGATGCGTTATCGAAAAACAACTTGTGCCAGATGTCAAATACGAGAAAGACCTCTCTTCTGCATACACGACTATTAGTGCCTTCAGGTGGGTAAAGTTTTGTGTTGATGGAATTCCCAAAAGTGTGAATTACAGATTTGCTGAGCAAATAGTGGTACATTTCTCTTGTCAGATTACGCTATGTCGGAAGCATGAGCAAGGTTGCGAGGGTATCGCGGTAAGCTTTGCATTTCAGTTTAAAAAAATGACTGAAGTGCGAAAAAAGAGGAAATTTTTTTACTTGATGAATTTTTTTTGAGTATCAGACAAGCTTTAAAATATCAAAGAATTGTTTTGCAGCCTCCGACGTGTGTCCCAGTCGAGTTTCCTCCAATCCGTACCTTCTATCGGCATACTCGTCCATTTGAACCCGCTGAAGCCACAACTCAGCCAGGGCCACCATCAACATCAGAAATTTACGGCTTGGGATCGGGCGAATTGGTCACGAAAACTACCGTTAGGTTGGCAGTTGGCATTAGTCGTCTAAAAGGCGAAAACTGGTCCTTTTGGCAGTTGTGTGAGTAGGAGGAGCTTTTCGGTGGTGTTTAACAAAATTTCGAGAATTATAAGTGTATTGTACTATGGGGACCAGTTCTCGTTCGCTCATGTCATCATGCTTGTTCTAAGATATGTGCTAGGGCACTGACAAATATCATTCCAGGCCAACGACAACGACTACGCTTTCGAATAGGGTTAGCTTCTCTTACTACACTATACGCAATCACTTTGAAATTTATGTCTGCTATTTTTAATCAATACTCACTTATCCTAGTTCTTGCATCTCCAAAATTTTTTTTTGATTCTCAGGTCGAGTCTGTCGCAAATTTCCACGATCCGCTAGCTTCTGCTCCAATCCCTCTGCCAAAAAGGGGCGAAGAAGGACAAGACGCAAATGTGGTGTGGTCCAGTGGAGAATCACCCGAATTTGGCATTGAAATCGTCAAAACGCCTTCATCAGGTGGGACTAGGCACTCGCAATTTTGTACGCAGAGCAAAAGATTATTTTCAGCACCACATCGCATGTTTCCGGAAGTACCAAACGACTACCGAACTGAGACACTCTCGTCCGTTTATGATGTACCACTTGGTCATGATCTAGACCCAATGCCAAGACCTGCTCCAGCACAAATATATTACGCCAGCAAGAGGAAACCGCGAAGTCATAAGCTCCCGGCTACTGAGAATATCACGCTGGAAGTGGAAGCAAAAAAAGTAGGCTTTTTTAAAATTGTTCTAATCCTAATGTTTTCATATTTAGCTAATGGTCTTTTCTGATGAATCTGATCGGTTAGATGTTCCATCGAGTAATAGCGAAGATCCAGGTGATAAACGCTGTGATCGGATAATAATTAGTCAGACTGTATTTTTGAGTGCAGCAGCATTGTTACAGGTATGTACATCTTGCTATTTCAATAATCACGAACAACGGTTTACTTGCTTATTATAGTCACAGCTTTTAATCAAAGCAAATTTTGAAGAGGGCAAATCAAATAAGGCGTAGTTTCCAGCAACTTCAATAGCTTTGAAATTAAGCAAGTTAGAAAGAAAATTCTTTCTTCCATAAAGTTTCCATCAAATCATAGAGCCTAACTGTAATACCGAAGTTTTTGTTATTATCAACATCGAATGGAAATCACCATCCTTTTGCAGCACTACTTACTAGTTTCTCTCTTCTTTGAAAACATAAGCGCCAAAAATTGTTGAAGATTTTACCAAAAATCAACTGCTAACCTAATTGTGCCAACCAACTATGTCTGCCTGTAGGCAAAGCCTTAAATTCAATACAATCATTAAAAACAATCGTTATCTTTTTGAATGGCTGTCTTACTCATGATCTCCATGTCTTATCATTCCGTGTCGGTTCCTAGTCCCAGGTTGAAAAATACGACAATAAGGAAGGAAGCGATTGAGGATTTCCGCTTTTATTGTTACTTTTTTCTAAATCGCTTAGTTCTTAGGCCTAAGGCATACCTCACGCGAGTCCAGTCGCTTCGCATTTTGGCACTGCAGCTACTCTTTATGATTGGTCGTAGGCGGCATTTGCTTGGGTAAGACTTGAACCGTTCGCGATAACTTATGAAAGCTACGTGCCTATGACTTCAAGAGCCGTGCACGGTAATTCTGTAGAAGTCTGGCAGACCGCTAAGTTGTGTGGGTGTAGCGATTTGACAGAATTGCAAGAGGTGTGCCTTAGGCATACAAAGGTAATGCCCCTGGTTCAGGGGCAGCATATCACCAAATTTCTTTACTCTGGATTTTTGCAAACTACAAGCCTTCCCGATTCTGTTACTCCCTACGGATTCAAATCCACATAAAAGCGCAAAATCACGTTGTTCAAAGCCTCGTAGGCCTGTCTACCTCAATTTTCGCCGCAGTGTCAGACGATTGAGAAGGATCACCTATCTATAAGTTTTAAAATGCCAGTGGGGAAACCGATAAGCAGAGGCCAGACTAGAGGCAAATCAGGCTCCACAAGCTACTTCATAGGCATGTGTGGAAAGGTGTAAGGCCGGATATTTTAACCGTTACTTACGCGAGTTCTTAAGATTCTAGCCCCGACCTTATTTTACGTAAAGCATAAAAAAGTCAAAAACTAAATTTATCGCGAGTTCAGAAAAGAAACAGACACAAGCTTGGGTGTTCAAACAGGACATCGGTCTTTTAAGATTGGGACTAACAGCGCATCGCCTTGGAGCAAGATGGAGAGCCCGCGCTAAATTGTCTCAGTACCTTCTTTTGTACGAGAGCAAAAGTGGTCAGGTGCTGTCGAAGCAATGACTTTCGAAAGTTGTTGCTTGATGGTTATTATTGTCGAAACCAATGAAAAAATAAGAATAGATTGACTGGTGCTTTTGCCGATAAAGTGTGGTATTCCTATGATTGCTGTTGTACATAATAAGTGCAGGTTATGCCTGCAACATCATGACAGCAAATGCATAACAAAGGTTGGTTTTTGGGATTTCAGGTCATACAAGAGTGATCCCCTCGGACATTTCATCGTACAAGTGCGAGATTATAACGTTCACCAGAAGCAAAAAATACCGTTGGGACGTTGGAAATCTTAGTAAAAAGCCCCGTCCGCTTGTGGATTTGCTGCTCAGCAGAGTACGTATGTGCCACAGTCGTAGGGTCCTGCATCTTCGTCTCAGCTTTGCTAGGAAGTGAGTTTTTGCGCGGACACTGTCTGGCGTGGTCTTATCGAATGCAACATGGACGGTGGCCTTATAAGGCAGTGCATTGATGAAACTGTGGGTTCCCAAATACAGTGACCGCCAAAAAGTTGCGGACAAGCCTCCCTCCCTTTTTCATCGCTCTTTTTCAGAGGGAAAACAATGATGAAAAAATGTAATAATTGCACGAGGTGATAGAGCTCTTCAAGATCTATAATCTACATCTTGAGTTTTTTGAGAAACGTGTGTTCTAAGAATTTTAAGAATATTTTTATAGAAAAAGTCCGAAAATGGCCGCGTCACAATGTCGCGGACAATAACTTTTCGAACGCTAAAATTTTCTTTTGAGTCTTATTTTGAAGCGAAAACACAAGTTATCCGGACGGGTAAGCATACTACTATACAGAGCTCGTCAAGAACTACACATTGGTTATGGTTACTTCCCCAGAAAACGCAAGCTTGGGTTTTATTTTAGTTTTTTTTTCAAAAATAACTTCTAATTTCCTTTATCAAGCCAAATTTCTTCACACGGAAACCTGTTCAAGACATCCCAACAAAGCCGCCTGGATAAAATAGATGCTCTTTGCCATCCTCTATGCATCGGACGTGTGCTGATGAGTTTCTTGGCTGAAAATGGCTCTTGGCAGTGCTTGCACATGACCCCACCTGCACCTCACCACTGACTTGTACCGCTTTGCAGGCTTATAACTCGGCCTGCAGTCAATATTTTAGCCTGAAATTAGGCTCGTTCGAAAGAACGAGACTTCCTCTACACGATGATATGCAAATAGGTTCAGTTTGAGCAATCCCTGAGATTTGGCGGATGGGGTGGTAGAGGGCAGCTTTAGAGATGATTGGAGTGAAAGCTTTTATGAACACCAGAACAGTCTTAGAGCTTCCAAATGGATCTATTACAAGAAAATTGACAGTTTTGAACTTCCAGGATGAAATTGGTAGCAAAAGGAGCTCTCTTCAACTTTAGCTGAAAAGTTTAGACTACAACTGAAGCTGCCCTCTACCACCCCATCCGCCAAATCTCAGGGATTGCTCAAACTGAACCTATTTGCATATCATCGTGTAGAGCAAGTCTCGTTCTTTCGAACGAGTCTAATTGCAGGCTCAAATATTGACTGCGGGCCGAGTTACAAGCCTGCAAAGCGGTACAAGTCAGTGGTGAGGTGCAGGTGGGGTCATGTGCAAGCACTGCCAAGGGCCATTTTCAGCCAAGAAACTCATCAGCACACGTCCGATGCATAGAGGATGGCAAAGAGCATCTATTTTATCCAGACGGCTTTCTTTGGATGTCTTGAACAGGTTTCCGTGTGAAGAAATTTGGCTTGATAAAGGTAACTAGAAGTTGTTTTTTGAAAAAAACTAAAATAAAACCCAAGCTTGCGTTTTCTGGGGAAGTAACCATAACCAATGTGTAGTTCTTGACGAGCTCTGTATAGTAGTATGCTTACCCGTCCGGATAACTTGTGTTTTCGCTTCAAAATAGGACTCAAAAGAAAATTTTTGCGTTCGAAGAATTATTGTCCGCGACATTGTGACGCGGCCATTTTCGGACTTTTTCTGGAAAAAGATTCTTAAAATTTTCAGAACACATGTTTCTCAAAAAACTCAACGTGTAGAAGAGAGGGAGGCTTGTCCGCAACTTTTTGGCGGTCACTGTATATGTAGTACGATGAGATCGCTTTTAATGGCAAAATGTCAGACGGTTGGTATATGGGTTTTTTCTATACACATGCAATGTACATAAATCGAAAGAAGGCTGAGTTCATGAGGAAAGCCTTTGCGAAGATGAGGAAATGATATTGGGAAGCACCCTACTATGGAGACCTCTTCTTACATGTATCCTGGACATGCGATGAACATCCAAAACGACTTGGTGAAAGAAGTTAACAAGAGAATAAGAGCAGCCTGGAACGCCTTTGAGACTTTGAAGGACACAACAGACAAAGTGTCAGAACAGGAACTTCCACCTGTTAACTTGACCGTTATTCCGGCGCTGTATTACGCAGCTAAGTCATCCGACGCTACAACTAAAAAGCTCCAACTACCTGCATGGCGCTTGAGCCCAATCTTCTAAAAAACTCGACCAAACAACATCTTGTCGGAATTCGCAGTACGGATATGAGAAATGTTCCGTCGTAGTGATCCAGCGAAACGTTGCGAAAGCGAAGCATTGATGGGCCGGTCACATCATGAGAAGGATAAGCGACAGATGAATACGAACATCAGGTTAGATTCGCAAAACAAAACGTTCCCGAGGAAACTCGGTGACGCAGTCGTCGACGACGAGTAAGAAGATCGTGGATGTCTAAGGCGAGGGGCAGGGAAAAATAAAAACTCCTATGCTGGGGCTCGCACACCGGAGAAGACGGTCCATTTAAATATTTAGGAGAGTAGTACGTACGTAGGCACGGTCGTCCTCACCCCGCTCTTCGTCCGGTGGACAAACTCGGGTTTGAATTAGGCCAAGCTGGCTACATCAAAGCACGGCACCGTCCGCCCTCAGTTCAAGCTTATGCACGTTTTTTTGTCTTTCTCATTTTTACTTGCAGCTCTTAGTATTTCAAAAGTATTTGTGTTAACATGTAGGACCTCGTTGTTGCTGAGCGATATTTCATATTGCTTTGCTCGTTCCTTCAACTCTTAATCCAAGTAAGCCCGAGAAAAGGATGAAAAATAAGTTCGGGAAAAGGATGAAGAAGGATGGAAAAGAGTTATTGCTCTTGAATTCTTTACTGGTATTCAACATGTTCTTAAGATGTTGCGTCAGTAAGTTTTTCGTCACATACTTTTCATCTGCATCGTTCTTTTTCAAGGCTACCTGAAAGCAGAGTAGAGAAAGGAGCGTAACAGTATGAAAGTTCAAAAACAGTAGAATTGTCAGATAGTTTTGGTATTATTGCTAGAGTACAAAAATTAGCAAGTGGTGACGAAAAATGGGAAGAATCAATGTCTAGTTCAAAACTGAGCGCTGAGCATGTCGTGCTCTACTGCAGATAACCTGCCCAGTTCAGGTTTGTCCACCAGATGATGGGGTGAGGACGACTATATACGTAAAGGCTATTGCACAACGAAGGCAGAGAAGCATTACTAGTTAAGCGGACGCGAACGCAACGCGCGCGTGTGTTCACCGTTGTAAATCCTGCGCCTCATGCGCTCTGTGGCTAATAAAGCCGCGTTCGCGCACAGATATTGCGCCTTCGTCATG